AAAAAAAAAAAAAAAAAAAAAAAAAAACCAATTATCTGTGAAACATAATTTTCCCAAGCTGGAAAGATCATGGCCAGACACAGAAAATAGAATTTCAGATTTCCATTTCATCACACTGGGTTTAGTTCTCTGGAGTACTACTGGCATTGCATTACTTTTTGCCAGTGTTGGTTAACAATATTCTGAAGTGATAGATTATATATACACACCTCAGTAAATATGAATAACCTTGAGCCAAGTATAATTTTACTCTGCTTACTTTTGATAGAATTAACTCTAAAGAAAAATTCTATTTCACATTATCCCCCCCTCCATTCTTTACCTCTGACATAATGTAGCTCTCTAGACTCTACTGCTAAGGTACTTAACCATGATACAGAATGGCCTCATGCATCTTCCTCCCTGATCCTGATGTGCCCAGACAAGTTGAAACAAAAGCGTACTAAGTTGGGAGGCCCCCAACAAGAGGCCACCAGCAATGAGAGGATGATCTCTGGACTTGAACATTGCTTCCCCACCTGCTGGCTGACATTGGACAGGGAACTCAAGCTCTTGAAGACTTTAAAGGCTTTGTAAAATGGCCATAATAGCACCCACCTCATTAGGGTAGTTTTCAGGATTAAGATGCTAAGCACAATGCCTGGCATTATCAAAGTCAGCTTAAAACATGTTACCAAAATTTGAGCACCAGATAAAAATATATTTTCTGAGGAGCCAGTTCCATCCTGAGCAATAGCTACTCCTACTCCACTGTGCAGAAAAGTGACTATTCAATAGAAGAATTTTGGAGATTCTAAGATGCTCATTTTCCTCCCCCTGCCTTCAGATATACATCAATCAAGTCTGTGAGGATGTCTTCTCTGGTCCCCTGAACTCTGCTGTGCAGCTGGCGGGACTGAGATTGTTAACAAACATGACTGTTACCAATGACCACCAGCACATGCTTCAGAGTTACATTACAGACCTGTTCCAGGTGTTACTTACTGGAAATGGAAACACCAAGGTATGAAGCGGTTATTACTTGAAGTACAAAGAGCTATTACATCAAGCTTATTAAGATTGAAATTGAATTGCCAGGCCACCTGCCTTAAATTGATGTTCCTCAAAAAAGAAGAAGTTTAGTCAAGGCTTACATGGGCCTAAGAAAGTATATTATTTTTATCCCCTAATATTGCATTGCAAAATTAACTTGTGAAAATCATCGGTTATCTCACTTATCAGTAGATAGATGTTCATTTGGTTTTTGAGAATCAGTAAAATTACCTTTTACGGAAGTAAATTAGCGAGCTTCCCTCAACCAGATATAGGAAGAAGGAGTCTTTGAATAATAGTGATGGCTAGTTGAATTTTTTACTTACCTCAGTGTTCACAAAATAATTTTTTGATTCAGCCAATATTTGTACTAAGTGAAGTGAATTGAATACATGAAAGATGTGTCAGTGCATCGCTCTGTCCAATGATGCAGATGTAGGGGGCAACAGATAGTGAGCTGAAGCAGGGACTCAGGAAACAACTATGAAAGTTTCTTAAGTAAATCCCTCATATTAGTGTGCATTATTATCAATTGCCATTTTTCAAGGAAAAAATAGCATAAAAATAGAATGTAGGCTAATTAGAAGTTCTGATGAGTTGATTGTTCATCAGGGTTTTACCATATTGGTCCATATTCTCTGGGACAGTTGAGAGAAAAATGTACAAGCATTTTAGAAGGACCAAATGCAAAGTCATACTCCAAATATCCAACATCAATGCAATTATTTCTAGGTTATCAGGATGGGATTACAGAAGATCCTTGCTGTAGCCCTGCTTTTATGTTTCTGAAGCGTTTGGATATGGGCTTTTCACATTTCCATTAGCCAGACTTATTTGGATTTGGTATAAGATGTACCCAAAGGCATTCAAAATTAAATGTAAAAGCAAGTACACTTCTAGCAATATTGCTCCATCTCCAGGCAATTTCCCACATCCATGCATCCATCAACATCTTTCTCTCCAGTGGAGCAAGATGACTTCCAGCCCCTGAAGCCCCATGGAAGCTCCTTCCCTCTTTACCCCATGGTGCTTCCACTGTAGAAAGAGTCCTCTGCCTGACTCTACAGCTGCTTTACTCAAAACCTCAGGAGGAACACTGAGTTGAGAGCCAGGCAAGTCTGGCCTTGGGGCTGTATATATCTGTCTCAGACATGGTCTGTGTTTTAGTACTTTTTATGACTTTTTAAAGGGTGACTCACACCACAATAGTATGTTCTATTTTTGTTTCATTTTGTTGCATTGTGTTTTTCCATTACATTGCCTAGTACAATATTTCTGGGATAGAAAATTTGCTTTTTTGGTCTGCCTTGGTACATAGCCACCAATCACAACATTGATTTTCCATAAAAAATTGAGTTTAAAGTTCCAACTTGCAAATGA